GTGAAGGACAGGAAGGCCTGGCACAATATGGTTCATGGGGTCACGAAGAGTCGGACACGACTTAACGACTAAACAACAACAACAACAACAACAAGGTGAGGGCCTGCCAGATCTCAAGGGCAGGGATGTTCCACAGGGCAAGGGGCTGCTACAGAAAAGACACACTTTCTAGGTCCCACTAGATGGCAACATTTAAGGGAAGGGATCTGGAGCATGCCCACTCTATCCAATCTAGTGGAATGGGCAGGTAGCCTCAGGGAGAGGTGATCCCACAGGTAACTTGGCCCTGTGCCATGTAGGGCTTTAAGGTAATAACCAGCACCTTGAGTTGCACCCGGAAAGACACTGGGAGCCAGTGCAGCTCACACAGCAATTATGTAACATGGACAAACCAAGAGGCACCCAATACTGTGTGAGTTGCCACATTTTGGACAAATTGTAACTCCTGGGGAGTCTTCAAGGGCAGCTCCACATAGAGCACATTGCAATATCCAGCTGGGAAGTGACCAAGACATGAATGACTCTGAGCAAGTTCCTAGATCTGCCATTCAACATGCACATTGCTGAGAATTCTGTGAATCAAGTTCACACATCTAGACAATACCCAGGATGATCTATAGCTCCCTATTTTGCTGGTGAAGCATAATATGATCCTTCAGCCAGCCCCAGGAAACTTCAGATTATATACCAAATCAATTCATTTTTAAATTAAATATGCGTAAAAGAATGTATAATTAAAATAATAACTCTAAAGAAAAAGTAGTACTTGTTTTTCAAAAGGTTATATATTTGAGAAGTCAGCATATTGAAACAAAAGAGTAAGGAAGAAATACCACTGCGAAGACAGTGCCTGCCACCTGCATTGAGAATGAACCCTGCTAAGGACTGAGAATTAACCCATGCACAAGGATTTTTTAAAACTTATTTTACAGTAAGTAATAGTTTATTAAATCAATTGTTTTTTTAAAAAAATGTTTCCTCAATCTAATATTGTTTGGTTACACTGGATTTTTATTCTCCGTCATTCCCATCAGCATGCTGCGTACAGCAGAAAATGCAATCCAACATACCTGGAGGGTGTTAGGTTAAGGATGGCAAATTTAAATTGAGTTTTTTTAAAATACAAATCTATATTTATTTCCATTATCTTTACTCAGTTCTCATCTCTTTCTCCCCAGTGATATTGGAGGAAATCTCAGAACAAAGATTTTGACCATGAACATTCCTATGGGTATTTCCAACTCATTAGCAGTTTGAACATGGGACTGGCAAATTAAGATCTCTCCAGTGAGCACCCCACTTACTCCAGATTGCCAGTTCCAGCTCTGTCTACATGTACCTCTCCATATACATCCACCCAGTCTTCTCTAAAATTCTGATAAGTAGTAGAGGAAAAGCACAGTACCAAATAAAACTAAATTAATCCTATAAACCCAAGTACTTCTAAAGTTATTCTAATAATAGTATCTAAGTGTTACAAATTACATTAAAATACTTTTAAAAATAACATTTTGCAGAACTGATGAGAAATCCAGCAGCCTAGAGTTTAACAATATTTAGTAAGCAAAATGTACCTTAAGGTTGTCATTCATTCTCCAAATGTTTGAATTTGCAAATCAAAGGCAATGAACAGGACCTTTTGTAAATTAAATTGGGTTACTAAAATCTCCTTCACCCAACAAAAACCTGCTTTCCTACAAACCTTGCATCTACAACACCCATATATCATGGTGGTGCTTTACTTTGTGGGTTAAGACCCAGATACTACTAGTATTCTACTACAAGTACAAAAATAGGGTAGAGAATATAAAACTGGTTTAAGGGTCTGTCCATTAAAATATTGCATACTCTGATTTCACATCATGTGCACATTTGTTCCTTTCTTTACATAGCTGGAGATATTAGGGCTGGAATTTGGAACTTTTTGCACTCATGGCATATCTTTAGTCACTGAGTTATGATCTCTGGTGAAGAAAATGCATTGAACTATTTTTTTTCCTTTTGAGATACAAAGGAGTAATGGAAATACATGAACAAGGGACACATACCGCAGAATGATTACCTGTTGTAATTAGGTACCGTGCCCCTGTCCAAGTCCTGAAGCGTGAAGGGGTCCACACGGGCACAGTACCATTCCAACTGCCCCTTATACAAGGTATCAGTAACATGAAGGATCTCTCGACATTTCACACATAGAGCATATGGGTTTGAAAGCTCCAGGAGGCTCAGGTTAGTACGCACATAAAATGAGTCACCAAGAATTTTCTTTCTGGAATCAAGTGCTTCTTTGAGAGGCTGGTAACCTAATAAAGAGAAGAGAGTATAAGTAAGGAAACAGTCTTAATGGTTCATGTAGACCAGCACCCTAGCAGTCAACTAGATGTTCTTTAGAGATGAAAAATTTTGGTCAGGTATTCATTTCAATATGTTTGTAATATGGTCACACAGACACAGAATATATTCAACTTTGGTGTCCAAAGACACACCATGACACCATGTGCTTAGCTACTTACCTCTCATATCATGTAAGAATAGAAGAGCAGATGGGTCCTTCCAATGCAACAAACTTAAGTGAGCAACCTCCAGTGTGCAGTTCTCCAAAGAGAGCCCCTCTCCATTTAGCTGTGCCTCCCTAAGCTGCCACAGAGAGAGAGAAAAAAGACAAGATCCACTAGCTTTAGAATAACATTTCTGGGCTTAAAAGAAATGTTTTCACCTCCTTTGAAATGGTAAATTGTACAAGAAATCAGGAGAAGATTGATGAATACAAGCTGGCTAAGAGGTTTCCTTAAAACAGGAGATCTTTGAAATGGGCTGCTGCTGGGTTCTTAGATCTTCCTCTAAAAAAGGAATGGAAGTCTTATGAGCTCTTAAATCAAAGAACTCCCCCAAAGCTTTCCAAACAGGCTGCAGACTTCTGTTTACTGGTGGATCCATGCACCATGCCTGGCTATCCCTGCCCAAACCTAAACACAGAGGAAACTTGTCTATGCAGGCTGTATTAGCAGCAGTGACAAAGACAGCCACATGGAATAATATAACATTCATAAACAATTCCATTTTTATTATTCTTTTATTGTGATGGAATATCTAAATGACCTTGGGAATATGAAGGAGGGAGCAAGACCATTATAGGAGGAAGCAGGGGCATTAAAGATTAAAACACGGCAGTGTGTTCAAGATCCAAGGAAGGGGGGAAATGTGAGAAAGAGACCTCAAACAACTCTGTCTTAATGATGGTAGGTATAAATTGAGTTGAAGAATTGCTTTGGCAGGTTTTCAAGATACTGTTACATTATCCAACTAGAAATAAAGTTCATTCCAGAAATCCAAGTGATTTTTTTTTTCTGAATTTGTCTATCTTGAAGGGCTTGACGCTTAAAGAGGCACCATCTTTTGGAGCAACAATACAAGACTCTACTCCACAGAAGGTACCCAAATATAGTAGAACTGACTTGCTGTATTTCTAAATGAATGACATAATACAGTGGGGCAAAAAAGGATTTAGTCAGCCACCAATTGTGCAAGTTCTCCCACTTAAAAAGATGAGAGAG